TCTCTGGCCTGCACCTCCTTTTCCAAGGTTTAACCCCTTTGTGCCACCACCACTCTACCCACCTGTGCAGGCAAATCCCCACAAGATCACGACAGAAAAAGTTTTAGATATCCTCATGGATGAACTGAAGTCAATCATAAAGAAGGACATTACACGTAGAATGATTGAAGGGGTCGCTTTCAAGGCATTTGAAGACTGGTGGGAGTGTCAGGAGAAGAAGGCAAAGGTAAAACCTTTTTCACATACTTTATTGTCTCTTATAGTGGGCACATTAACAAAACATTTTGCATGTCTTTTAATGGGAGTAGTTGTTTGGAGCCAGTGGGTCTTATAACTCAGTTGATTCATTTAAGATACAAGAGTCTCCTCTGAAATGTGGAGCGGCAAGAGTGGAAGACAGGAACAAATTCCTAAATCCCCTCAGTAACATTGGTGGGCAGAGCAGAAAACCACCACTGCCATCCTTCAAGGTAATCTGTTCTGGGGATATTTTTGAAACACAGCTGGTTTTGACTGCCAAGTGATGCCTAAATAAAGAAATTTCCACGCAGGTAAAAAGGAAAAGATCAGACGAGACAGGAAATGACTCCGGTTCTGCTCTCAATCATTCTGGTCAGTGCGATTAATTCAAATTTCAGTGTGTATTAACTTTCTGTGCCAGACTGTCGCTTTAACTGATTCTAACTTGTTGCATTAGAGGTGAAGAAAGGGGACGACATAGTGAGAGCGGCGTCTGAGAGAGGCAAACGCAGACACGCAAGACCACTGGATCTGGACAGTGATGATGATGATGATGGTGATGCTGGGAAAGAAGATAAGATACTTCAAGATGAAGAAGCGATACCAGACAAAGTGAAGGCTTTTGTGCTGGATGAGGATGAGCCACACATCCTGGTAAATGAAGAGACAGAAAAGAAAAAAGAAATAGCAAATAAGAAATTGAGAAAAATGCCGTGAGGTCAATATTTTAGTCTGGTGCCTTTACTTTTTCAGTTGTTAGTCTTAAAATTAAAATTTTAACTAAAAAGTTTAAACTTCTGGAGACAGCATTATATAACTGGTGCTCTGATTAGTCTGACAGAGATGCTCATGGTGATGACGAAGAAGATGATGATGGCAGTAATCATACTGCGGAAGAAAATAGTCCGATGGAGGATCGATGTGACGGAGAGCAGTGCTTAGACAGCGGTATGTTAAAATATCATACAACACTGAACACTCATTAAAAATCACATATCTTAACATTGAACAGTGTGGCTTCTTTTTCAAATGTAGAGGTTTTTTCAGAGGATAGCGAGCACACGTCGGACTGCGAAACTTCAGATTCGCTCTCCTCGGTGGGCTTTGAGGACACGTTGTCTGACCTTACCACTGAAGGTGAAGACGCCGAGGAGGACAGCGAGGACGCCGGGAGTGAAGAGTGTATAGTTATATCATCAGATGAGGACTCAGTGGAGCACGAGCCCCCTCTTACCCCCTCAGCCCCACTGACCCCTGGTGCTCAGCTGGATCTGGACCAGCAGGGCTGGTCAGAACTGTTCCCAAGGCAGGAAACGGAGGAGGACCAGTACACATCGTGCCACGAAGACAACTGCGACTTCGATGCTATGATGGAGCTCCATACCAGCGACCCCCAGGACCTGCTGCCCCCATCACCTCTAGGACTATCAGGTTACATGTCCTTGTAAAGCAATAGATCTGTTAAGTTAGTGTCATCAGGTTAATCAAAAGTGGTTTAATTGTCACTCATGTAAAAATATCTTGTAATACTCCCTGAATTTCCAGTGTGCTACAAATTAACAGAACTACACAAGAGTAAGTTGTGTATCAGGTTTTCAAATAATTATGTATGAAAATTCCTTGTTAATCTGTATAGCAGTGGAGCCATGCCTTGATATGGAGATGGAAAGCCCTGATTGGACAGTGGAGTCTCCAGAGAACATAAAAAGCCTGAGGCCTCCCACTCCTACTGGCCGTTTGGTGGACAGTGACCCTGACATCCTTTTAAAAAGCAGACCATCATCTCCTGCTGCAGAGGAGGAGGAACGACCACCAACACCAGGCAAGGGAATAGTGGCAGGACTGGAAAGTGAGAATTCAGAGGAAGTCCTCTCCCCAGCAAGCGATGGACTCGCTCAGCCTCCCTCTGATCTCCTCATGGCATCATACCCATTATGCCAGGAGATGCCTAAGACTCCTGGCAGAGATGAAAGAGGTATGTGGACTCATTGTAGCTCAGGCAGAGCTCCTGCAACACCTGGAAGAGGGACCGCAGATTTAGAATTTAGCACAGTGAGCCCGCCCCTTAGCAGCCCACCACTTATCCCACTCTTGCCCAGCAGTCCATACATCACAGCCCCAAAGACTCCAGGAAGAGACATTATCCTGCCCAGAAGATCAATAGTCCACAAAAGGAAATCCAAGGTGGCGGCAACGTCAGTGCCTCTGTCATGTAATAATATTTTCAGAGTTTCCCCCATCACAGTGTCCTCGCCATTCAGCGTCTCTGACTCTTCATGTGACAGTGTTGATGGAAGGGATGTCCAGATCCGTTCAGGTGTGAGAGCAAAGCCTCTACAGGGACTGGAGAACATGCCTGAGCTGTTGGACAAAGAGAAAATCTTACTGAGGCTAAACCGATGGAGGAGGCTGAAGAAGAGAAGGCGGGCCCGTCACTGGGAGAGATCACTTAAAAGAATCAGTCCGTTGTTCTCTCAACGTCGTCCTCACAGGTGGCGTTCACCCTACGAAGAGAGGAAAATCCTTCATAGCATTTGGAAGGACGGCTTGGATGAAGAAGATGTAAGGTTTCTGCAGTGCACCTATGAAAGGCTGCAGGTGCAGGATAATGGCTGTGGGTGGCTCAGTGACACCCTCTGGATGCCTCATCCTCATATCCTTACAGACAGTGTTTTATGTTGAAATGATTCTTTATATTGTGGGAAACAGTTAAGTTGTTTTTAAGTCATACTTAGAATGTTTTTTTGTTTTGTTTTTTCTGATGAAGCTGCTCTTTGCATATTACTCTGCTGTTCACATCCTTAACTGCTGCTCACTGACTAAGGTCCTTACAGAGAAGAATGAGGAGCACCGATCCTGGCAGCCGCACCACAGAACAGGCTCTGCTCGAAGTGAAGGTTTTTACAAAATCAGCAGGAAGGATAAAATGAGGTATCTGCACAACACGCGGCTGGCTGCGGAGCTTCCGTCTACAAGCGCTCAGGTATTAAAGGAGGACAGAAGGTGAGGATTTCTGTGTCCAGTTTAATATTTATCTATTTAATGTTGAGACATTTTTCATCAGGGAACGTGCATTCCAGCCCAGCAACCCACTTCACTGCGAGCTGGGTCTGACTTCAGGTGTGAACAGCGCCGGCTGCTGTCCTCTTTCAGCTGTGACAGTGACCTGGTCAAGTTCAACCAACTCAAGGTTAGCAGGAAGTTAGTGACAATCAGCAGACTATTGTAAAAGCCCAGTTTGAAAGAAGTCTACAGTGGAGTCTAAAACTGAGTTTACCGTTAGGTTTTTATTTGGGCAGACAAGAAATCAGAACATTAGTTCTGCACTCTAAAAAAAGAAAGAAATAATTTCACACTTATTGTATGTTTTTTAACTTTGTTAAGTCTTGAGCCACTTCTCCTTTCTTTATATTTTGCTGGGAATATGGGAAATAGGTGCAGAGATTTATTGAAACATATGCAAACATATATGGAAAGATGAGCACACTGAAAAACAGGATCAACTGAATCTTTTAGGTCCCGTGTCAGGTTCTTGTTGGATTTTTTCCTGTTTCTTCTTTCATCAGTTTTAAATAGTTTAACTTTAAATAAGGTGCAGCTTCTTCTTTTGCACTCTACTGATGGCTGTAGAACCGATGGCAACAAAGTGCCTAAAATACAATTTAAACCAAACAAATAAAAAAAATCCTCTGAAAATGGTCAAGCACAAGGATTGTACTGAAAGTGACTGAAAAACCAGCCAGTATCCAAATAAAAAATTGACTTTACTATTCATTAGCTTTCAAATTCACAAAGCAAAATATAGAGTAATGAGGGTGACTCGAGATTTTTGCACAGCACTGTCTCATTTGAGCGACAGTCCAAACCCGTGCTATATCGTCTGTCAGTTCCGAAGGAAGAGGATTCGTTTCAGCAGGAGTTACATCCACGAGTGGGGCCTGTTTGCCATGGAGCCTATTGCTGCAGACGAGATGGTGATTGAGTATGTGGGCCAAATCATCCGACAGGTAATTCTGATGCAAACTAACATGCACTTTTAAACAAACCCCTTTTCCCCTGATTGTTTCTCTAAATTAGTCCACCGGTCCACTGGGGGCCTCGGGTCGTGCTGGGTGGTTTCCATCCATGCGTGTAGAGTAACTGTGATAAACAACCCTCGCATAGATGGAAAGCCACATCTGTTTTCTTTCTCCTCAGGTCATTGCTGACATGAGGGAGCAGAGATACGAGGAGGAGGGCATTGGAAGCAGCTATTTGTTTCGGGTGGATCAGGACACCATCATTGATGCTACCAAATGTGGGAACTTAGCCAGGTTTATCAACCACAGCTGCAATGTGAGTAAAAACCAGCGGTGCTGTGGTTAGAGATGAAAGTGATTCCACATAAAGTATTCCCATTAAAAGGTTTGTGGGGTTTATTTATTTATTTTTGTCTTACAGCCTAACTGCTACGCAAAGATCATCACAGTGGAGTCTCAGAAGAAGATAGTCATATACTCCCGCCAGCCTATAAACATCAATGAAGAGATTACATATGACTACAAGTTTCCTATTGAGGAAACAAAGATCCCTTGTTTGTGTGGGGCAGACGGCTGCAGAGGCTCCTTGAACTAATCACCTGTTAAGTGGCCTGATTAGGTAAAGAGAAAAAGTGGCAACCTAAACCAGAGGTATCAAAAAGCAATTTTTAATACTGTTCAGCAACTATTCAGCATTTTGGAAGCCGTAGAAGAGCTCATGAAAGAACTGCAGACATGTGGTACTCAGTGAATAATGGTTTAATACTAAGCTGCCATAAACAATATATAAATCAGGACCGGAACAAACACTTGGGACTCACAGAGAGTTATCACAGTTTATGAGAAAAACTAACAAAAACCAAGAGTGGTCTCTTTTAAACAGGAGGGGAAAATCACATTCTAGACTTCATGCTAAATCTCCAACTTCTGTTGACCTCGCCGTCTAAAAGTTAACAAAGTGTATAGTTAAATGTTTTCATTTATGAGAGCTCGGATAACGTTTTGCTTGAGTCAAGCTTGTGTTAATAAAAATGGTTTTCCTGTTGATGTTTTATACAAACTGGAAGCACTGCATTGTGATTTAAAGTGGATGTTGTACTCATGTCATTTTTGCAAGCATCAGGAAAAATGATAAAGACATAAAATGAACAATTAAATGTAAAAAAAACAAAACCAAAAAACAAACATGCAACACATAAAAAAATAAGGAAAACCATAAGTATACGTGCTTTGTGTATTTCTCTGAAGATGAGACATTTTCAGGCATAAGGATGTTTATTAAAGCATTCGTTTTATACTAAGTTGATGGATATAGCATGTTTTCTGAACCCCTAAATTAATGCATCACCCAGTTCACATCTTGTTTAAATTTCCATTTGTTGTCAGAACAGTCAGATTGCCTCTAGCGTGCTGGTCTGCTTCAATAGCCTCAAAAAGAGACTTGAAGTTTCCTGCACCAAAGCCCTGTGGATGAGAACATGTTTTTTTTGTTTAATAACATGTTAAATATACTGTAGAGTACATTTCCACTGCTTGTTTAGCCAGTGGTGCCCTCACCTGGTGATTGTGTCTCTGAATGACTTCCAAGAACACAGTGGGGCGATCCTGGACCGGCTTAGTGAAGATTTGAAGTAGGTAGCCATTGTCATCGTAGTCCACCAAGATCTTTAGTTCCTGGGTAACGGTGAGGACATAAAACAATATTTTGTCAATTTGAAGGGATTTTTTTGGTTAATTATGAAGACAAAATGTGTTTTATGCACCTTTAGTCTTTAAAAAAATATGATTAGAGTGAACTGAGTCAACATGTTCTACGATTTAAAAAAGGCCACTGTGTTTGGCTACGTAAGGATCACAAATCATCACTCTTTCAGCTTTGTTAATTTAGGGTTTTAGCTCTGACCTGCAGGACATCAAGGTCCTCTGAGATTTTGACCTTTGAGTGTTTCAGCTTCTCTCTCAGCTGGTCGTAGTAGGTCTCAGGCACAGACATGAACTCCATCCCGCGCTCCTTCAGGTTACGGATCTGCAAACAAGGTAATTAACATTACATTTAAGCTGCTGTTATAACTCAGCCTGTTGCAGAGGTAAGCAGGGTGTTTTAGTTGCCATACTGTAGTAATGATATCTGAAGTGTTCATGGCGATATGCTGCACTCCTGGACCTCCATAGTACTCCACATATTCCTGTAAGTCAATAATGTTCTTATTAGTCCACATACCACATGGTTAATGTTTGTTCATTTGAATACTTCAACTCTGGTTTTAATCTGGTAACCCAGATGTTTAATTAAAGTAGATAAACTGTAAGCAACATGCCTGGATTTGAGACTTTCTCTTCCCCATCGCAGGCTCATTGATGGGCATTTTCACGGTCTCCTCGTAGTTTGCCACAACGATTGAGCGCAGGGCGCTGAATTCTGTCTGAAGCTGCTTGTCGTCCACGGACCAGAAGCGGTGAAAGAGAAGGTTTCTCTGATACCTGTTAAATGAAGAAACACAGATTAGGAGCCACTGTGGCACAAATACTCTTGAAGTTGCTCTCATAGTGTCATATGCACAGTAAAGAAACACGTTTCTTCACATGGCAAACAAAAGAAAATACACACACACACACACACACACACACACACACACACACACACACACATATATATACATATATGTATATACATATACGTATACACATATATATATGTATATACATAAAAACACCCAGCACGCCCCTGCGGGCGGTTTATCCTTCAAGCTCGGGTCCTCTACCAGAGGCCTGGGAGCTTGAGGGTCCTGTGCAGTATCTTAGCTGTTCCCAGGACTGCGCTCTTCTGGACAGAGATCTCCGATGTTATTCCCGGGATCTGCTGGAGCCACTCGCCTAGCTTGGGAGTCACCGCACCTAGTGCTCCGATTACCACGGGGACCACCGTTACCTTCACCCTCCACATCCTCTCGAGCTCTTCTCTGAGCCCTTGGTATTTCTCCAGCTTCTCGTGTTCCTTCTTCCTGATATTGCTGTCATTCGGAACCGCTACATCGATCACTACGGCCGTCTTCTTCTGTTTGTCTACCACCACTATGTCCGGTTGGTTAGCCACCACCATTTTGTCCGTCTGTATCTGGAAGTCCCACAGGATCTTAGCTCGGTCATTCTCCACCACCCTTGGGGGCATCTCCCATTTTGACCTCGGGACTTCCAGGTTATACTCGGCACAGATGTTCCTGTACACTATGCCGGCCACTTGGTTATGGCGTTCCATGTATGCCTTGCCTGCTAGCATCTTGCACCCTGCTGTTATGTGCTGGATTGTCTCTGGGGCATCTTTACACAGCCTGCACCTGGGGTCTTGCCTGGTGTGATAGACCCCAGCCTCTATGGATCTTGTGCTCAGAGCTTGTTCTTGTGCTGCCATGATTAGTGCCTCTGTGCTGTCTTTCAGTCCAGCTTTGTCCAGCCACTGGTAGGATTTCTGGATATCAGCCACCTCCTCTATCTGCCGGTGGTACATACCGTGCAGGGGCCTGTCCTTCCATGATGGTTCCTCGTCTCCCTCCTCTTTCTTGGGTTTCTGCTGCCTGAGGTATTCACTGAGCACTCGGTCAGTTGGGGCCATCTTCCCAATGTATTCTTGGATGTACCTTGTCTCATCCTGGACTGTGGTGCTGACACTCACCAGTCCCCGGCCCCCTTCCTTCCGCTTAGCGTACAGCCTCAGGGTGCTGGACTTGGGGTGAAACCCTCCATGCATGGTAAGGAGCTTTCTTGTCTTTATGTCAGTGGCTTCTATCTCCTCCTTTGGCCAGCCTATTACCCCAGCAGGGTACCTGATCACGGGTAGGGCGTACGTGTTGATGGCCCGGATCTTGTTCTTACCATTCAGCTGACTCCTCAGGACTTGCCTGACCCTCTGCAGGTACTTGGTGGTTGCAGCTTTTCTAGCGGCCTCTTCATGGTTCCCATTCGCCTGCGGGATCCCCAAGTACTTGTAACTGTCCTCTATGTCTGCAATGTTGCCTTCTGGTAGTTCAATCCCCTCAGTTCTGACTACCTTCCCTCTCTTTGTTACCATCCGGCTACACTTCTCCAGTCCGAACGACATTCCAATGTCATTGCTGTATAGCCTGGTAGTGTGGATCAGTGAATCGATGTCTCGTTCACTCTTGGCATACAGCTTGATGTCATCCATGTACAGGAGGTGGCTGACAACTGCTCCGTTCCGTAGTCGGTATCCGTAGCCAGTCTTGTTAATGATCTCACTGAGGGGGTTCAGGCCTATGCAGAACAGCAGTGGGGACAGAGCATCTCCTTGGTAGATCCCGCACTTGATGGTGACTTGTGCTATGGGCTTGGAGTTGGCCTCTAGTGTTGTATGCCACATCCCCATTGAGTTCCTGATGAAGGCTCTTAGGGTCCCATTGATCTTGTACAATTCTAGGCATTCCAGTATCCAGCTGTGGGGCATTGAGTCATAGGCCTTTGTCGGGGAGAGAAATTATTTTACTGCTATTGTTAAATAATTGTCATTGCATTAATAATATAATCTGCAGCATGGATATTGCATTCCAAGGTTTAAACAGTGTCTCTTTCAGAAAGACTGAGTTGCAGGCTGACAGGAAGTTGTATGCAGAAAGAAGCAGGAAGTTATTTTGAGCCGCAGGCTAAGACGAGGCTTTAACAATGTAACAGATAGCTTTAAGAAGGCCTTAAGATCAGATCATTTTATATTAAGGTTTTAGTAGAGGTTCTTGATTAAAACATTTATTTAGTAGAAGACATACACATAGTCTCAGTGAGCTTCTGGTCTGGTAAAAGGTCAGAAGTGCAACAGGTGAATTGAGAAAGAGCATGTGAGGTCAACACACACACACACACACACTTTAAATTAGATTTATTTAGAGGAGAGGTTAGTTATGTTTGGCTGTAACTGCAAAATTGTCTTGGTAAAAGAGGAACCGTCCTTGTTGTCTCGGCAAGAAAGAGGAACAATTCATTTTAAGATAAGAACGGAAAGTACCAAGCCATGAAAATAGAAGATGATTTTCTAGGGGAAAAGTCATGAGGATGTTGATCTGATCTATGTATAAAATGTGTCTGTGACGTATGAAGGGGCGTCAGTAAACAAACCCTGATGCTATAAAATATCTGTTCATGCTTTGATTAAGTTGAAGACTACTTCCTGTCTGCGTACAGAGTCGTCTTCCCACACGTGTGTTCATTAAAATCATCGTTTGACTTCACCCGGCCGGATCGGTGTGGTTATTCTTCGATCACCTCTTGTACCCTTCCTCAATACTGAATCTTAACACCTTCTTGTAATCAATCCAGGCAGTGCACAGGTTGGTCAGTCTGGTCTTGCAGTCTCGGCTGATTGTTCTGTCTACCAGTAGCTGGTGTTTTGCGCCTCTGGTATTCTTGCCAATTCCTTTCTGTGTCCCGCTCATGTATTGACCCATGTGCCTGTTCATCTTAGCCGATATGATGCCTGACAGGAGCTTCCATGTAGTACTGAGGCAGGTTATTGGTCGGTAGTTGGAGGGGACCGGTCCCTTCTTGGGGTCCTTGGGGCTCAGGACCGTCCGGCCTTCAGTTAGCCATTAACTAGCAGCTGGTTCATTTGTGCTGCCAGACGCTCGTGGAGTGCAGTCAGCTTCTTCAGCCAGTAGGCGTGAACCATGTCGGGCCCTGGTGCTGTCCAACTCTTCATACTGGAGACCCTTTCTTGGATATCTGCCACTGTGATGGTTACTGGACCCTGTTCAGGGAGGTCGCTGTGGTCTGCCCTCAGATCCTCTAGCCACTGAGCATTGCCGTTATGGGTTGCATCCTTCTCCCATATGCTCTTCCAGTATTGCTCCGTCTCCAGCCTTGGTGGTGCTGTTCTCTTATTGTTCCCTTGCCACTGAGAGTACACCTTTGCTGGTTCTGTGGAGAACAGCTGGTTTATTCTCCTGCCTTCTATCTCTCTGGTGTACCTCCTCAAGCGGCTGGCCAAGGCTGTGAGTCTTTGCTTGGCAGTTTCCAAGGCCTCAGGTATGGACAGCTTGCTGTATTTCTTAGGCACCTTATTTGTCTTACCTTTCTGCAACTCCGTTAGTTGGCTAACCTCCCTCCGTGCTACTTTGATCTTGCCCTCTAGCCTCCTTCTCCATGGAGGGTACTGCCCCTTGTCGCTGTTCAACTTGTAGCCAAGCATCTCACTGATCACTGCTGCCGTATTGTAGATCAGCTTGTTAGTGTCGGTAATCGTGGTTGTAGGTATTGCCCGTAGTGCTGCATTAACATCATCTAGCAGACCTTCTGAGGGTACTTCACGTAATCTTGGTAACCGGCTACGGGGGATCCAGGTTTCAAGCTTGGCCATGATCCTATTTTTCAGGTCAGTTCCTCTCGCACTCAACTATCCTTCCCCTATCGCACTTGGGGCTATGTACCCAATCTCGGGTGGGGGTGATGATATCGCCCCCCTGACCTGGCGTCCTGACTCCTCCTTGCCGTAGCATTTGTGTTGTACCTCGTCAATCTCTAGCTGTGAGAGCAGTCCCTTCTTTCGAATGTTGGAACACTGAGCTACTAGTTGTTTCGCCGTCATTGTGGATGTTGAGTATCGAAGAATCCATAGGTCCCTCATCCTATTCATGTAGCCCCTTCCGCCGGGGTTACTTGCGTAGTAGCATTCCAACAACGCCCTGTTTTCGTCTCTTGCCCACCGATGCCTTCTTGTTATATATATATATGTATATATATATATATATATATATATATATATATATATATATATGGAGAGAGAGTGAGAGAGAGAGAGAAATATAGCCTCATATATTATATTAAAAGAACCAGAGCTGCAAAAGCAATGTACATATTAATGCAATTTACATTTATAGTGATACCCTGGGCTTCATACACCACAGACACCACATTAACTAAATTTGAGGGGTTACATTTTTGGCCTGTAAAAACATCAGTGACTGACATTTTTATGAGCCAGAAAAAAATTGGTTCTTCACATCTGAAAACCGCCAGCCAGTGTAACACGCCTCTTCAGAGGTTAAACCAATGAGCTTGCTCATTTAGAGAACTGCCTTACTTCCAACAATGCAGTAAAAAAAACAAAAACAAAACAAGATCCAGATGTGGAAAGCCCACTTAATGCAAAGTCATGCTGATCCCAAGTCATGCCAAAAAAACTGAGTTATGTAAGAATCAGACACCCTTTAACTCCGCCCCTCATTCACCCTCTGGCTTGTGTTTCTGCAGAACACATGGCAAAAGTTGGCCTTCGAGGATTTTTGCTCGACAAACCCTCTTAGATGTGGATAACTGACGGGGCATATTTTAACCCGAAGCACAATCTTTTTCTAAACCTAACCAACTAAAAACAAGGAAATATTCTAGGAAATATTCAAGCCTCCCTACATCTTCTGCAGTTTTTTTCGTCCCAACACAGAGGCTTTTAGTTGTATTTATATGGTACATTGCTATTTCACACTCTCTACAAGAACTAGCTGCAAGTCCTCACCATTCCACTGCTGAAACCATCTCATCATCTGGTTGGTTTCCTACAACGTGATCGATAAAGTCCAGGTTTCCACTTGGGCTACACGGAGGGGAAAAACAAACAAATAATTCAGTCAGCTGTGATTCAGACAGAAATACACATTATCAGTTTACAAAAACATCACATCCAGAATAATTTCTGTTTACTCACAGTTTGTCGAGTAAGGGGTCCTTGAACAGAGGAGGATGGAACCCAGGCAGAAACAGTCCACTGTATCCTGTCCTCTCCACAAATGTGTGAGTGGTGTCACCATACTGAAGGAAACAAAAGCAAATCCAAAATCCTGGATTTTCTGATGTTTCCAACTTTTTTCATAAATCCCTGAATCATGGTATCTAAAATATTCACTATAAATATACAACACTTACAGTTTGCAGCACAGCCAGCCTGACTTTACCATATTTGTCCTCCAGAGTGTAGGGTTCCTTTATAATGACTGCCCCTCGCGCCCGGGCTTTCTGTTTGGGAAATAATGTTAATTATGGAAGCAATAGCTTTTTCAGTTACTAACATGATGCATCTGTAAAATAAAAGCTGAACCATTACCTGCACGAGAAAGTCACAGTCCTCCACTGTAAATGCAATGTCCTTCACTCCGTCCCCATGCTTAACCAAATGATCCCCCATCTCTGAAAACATGACAAGAACAGACATTTTCTTCAGCTTAAATGAACATATGATTCACAGGTTTCTTAAAACTCTTTTACATTTTTGTGATTTATAATGAATGTGTACTAAAAGGGATTGTTTCGAGTGGGACTTTCACCAAAGCATATCAAGATAATATGTTTTCAACAATTTCTTCTTTCCTTGCTTATTCAAATTGATCATAGGGGTCAGTCATGGCGCCGATATTCTTACCACAGACTAGTCTAAATATATTTTATAGACATGGAACTGCAAAAAGTCTGGCAAAAGAAAGAATGCACAAAATAGTATAGTAGTATATATATCTAAAAATGTAACAGAAGTGTAGACATGTTACAAATGAACCTGTTAAAGTCAAAAGTAATTGTGACCACTACAGGAACCCAGCTCCTTATCAGTGCTGTACCTTTGTTTCCAGGATTGAGGGTGGATGAGAACACGTAAATGATCTGTGAAATACAGAGTGAACACATCGACATGATTAAACTCCTGCCTCTGTGCATCTTTAGCTTTCACTTGAGTCTAGGTGTATTTTGTTACAATTAACATCACTCAACAAATCTACACATTGTAAGAAAACATTTTTAGGTGCTTTAAACTGATTTCCCCTCTTGTGGGCTGCGGGCACTGAGTGCTCTTTACCTTGCCTTGTTTGACTACATGTGACACCACTTCACGACTGCCCGTCTCCAAACCTTGGTAAGCCACAGGCTCAAATCCAAGCTTGTTGCAGTAATACGATGCAGCCTGTTGGAGACAAACAAAAACGTGAGCAAAGAGGGAACCGATTCACAGTCTGCTGAAACTGGGCATGTTTGCAGCAGACTGGCTTTAGCGCCATCTCCTGGTGACGAATTTTGATGGTGTTTGTGCAGCAGGGATTCTGGGAGGTGGGAAAATGAGTGTTCTGTGTGCTGCGTTCCCTCCACCTCTTTGGATGACCAATAAAACAGCTAAAAGAAAAGTAGAAAGCTGGAACTAACTTACCTGCTTTGCATTTCCAACCCAGAATGTTAAGTGATCAAAGCAGAGGAATCTGCCCTGCTCATGCTGAAGACAAAAAGAAATAACAAAAATCAGTCACATATGCAAGTTTAAAAAAAAATCTAATAATACCAAAACCAGCTTGCAGTCAATGATTAAATCATCTCTGCAGTGCAACACACACGAATCAGTTATTTACCTTCTCGCCTTTGTCTGTGTATGTTGTCTGCAATTAAAAGTAACACACCAAAACTTACTACTTACAGAAAAAGAACTGCTTTTTTGGCATAACCAATATTATCTCCATGCAAACACAAATTCTCAGAGCGACCTGAGATAGGAGAAAGAAGCCATTTGAGAGGATTCATCAGCGAAGAGCAACTCACCATCTTTGCTGGAGGTGATGAGACCTGACAGTCCGAATGAAATCTGTGGCGAACGTCTGAATTTAAAAGCCGGGCAGGAAGTGTTTAAACCCACTCCCACCAATGGGGTGGAGAGATTGGAGGAGGAGAGCGTGCTGATGCTTTGTGCACTTTTGCTGTTATGCAATGATTACTTGGGGGAAAAATCCCTTCAAAACTTTAAAGATGTCATTAAAAGAAACAAAAACAAAACTCATTATCACCTTATTCACTGACTGATGCTGCTCAGTATGAGAGACGACGGCTAGACCCATCCAGAGATGTGCAGAAAATGTAATTTTGCTTGTGTTGTGAGTTGCTCTGTATGAGAATGCGTTTTTGCATCCAAACATTATTCTTCAAAAAAGGAAACACAAAAACGAATTGTCCACACAGGTTTTGAATTACAACTGCATTTTTTTAGGACAAGAAGGACCTAGGAACATATGTTAGTGTTTAGCGGCAAGAGGAGGCTCACGCATCCCGAACTCTCATTGGCTCAAAGGGTTTATGCTGAGTGAACCCTCATGTGCTTGAAAATACCCTCAACCCCCCATCCCATCAATCATCCTCCTTCACGTGCAGTTTTCTACTGATCTTAAAACTATTTCATTATCATTAAAAATCTAATTGACCCGAACTCAGTCGTGGTGCATGTAATGTTTTCACAGAAGGTGCAAATGATCTCAGAGCAAATGGGACCTGCATAGGAATGAGTCAGACTGTGCAAGTTTATTATACGACAATGTTCATCACAAAAGAAAAGAAAAGATAATGAAAAAATAGAGGATGTTTTAATGAGATTAAAGACTCCATATGATACAAATCGACGGGCCTCAGTGTGAAGAGCAGACAAAACAGCTCTTAAAGGCAGAACCAATCGCATTCAAGTATCCTGCATCAAATCTAAAGGATCCTGCTGAAAGAACTACAAATGCGGTGCATGTATGATAGATCCTGTCAGTTATCCCTAAATCCTGCACTGCATCCAGATGAGCTGTTGAGCCTGTGACCCCGAGCACAAACAGCACAGCTGAGGTTTCTCTGCACTAAACATCAACTAAATGGCCCAAAGAAGCAAAGAGCAACCTGTCAATGCAAAAAAGCTACATTCAGAGTGTGTATAGTACACAGACGTGCACACAAGCACTATAATTAAATGCATGTCATCCTCGTGTATTTCACAGAGGAACATATCTAGTCTAATCGTCTGTCAAACAGCAGATTTGTTAGTTATCTGTTGAAGCTCTATTTTCCAGTAACGGCTCACTAATCACTAATGAGAAACTCAAAGCCAGCCCTCAGTGTTCCAGCTGTCCCCGAAGATCGTTGTTTTTCATGCTGTTACCAAGAGGCTTAATGTTGTCAAGGGATGCAGCGACACACATGCAGACCAAGGAACATAACACGCGTGATCAAATAATTGTAGCTGCATTACACAACTACTACTATTGCATGATTTAATAGTGTGACATGGGAGGGGTAGAGTATGTGCTGTTCAACCGAGTTGCGCTCCTCGAATTATTATAGTAGCTCAGTTCAAAGGAGGCGGACAAGCCTGAAAATAACAATGAGTGATTCTTTCTCTGAGAAAAATCCAGAAATACTGGTGAACAGTGAACAACAGGAGCAACCACAGAACAATGCTGCTGCAACAGTGGAGCATGCCTGTTCTCTCAATCCAGATGATAAGTGTTTGGAGGACAATGCACCTGCAGAAAAGGAGTCGCAAGGAAAGATGCAGTCTGTTTTCCAACAGGTACGTCACCAGATCAGATCACAAGTGGGTGTGCGACTCCCAAAGAGCAGCATACTGGAGCTAGTGCAAAAAGTCAAAGAAATGGAGCTCGCACAGGTGAGCGTCGAAGCTGATGGTGAGGAGGCGAGTGGTGAAGAGGGAAAACAAGTGCTGAAACATGAGCGCAAAAATGAGATCTGTCTGAAGGAGGAGGAGGAGATGTGTACAACGTTTGAGGAAAAGCTCGAGGCCAGAACAAAGGCCTTAAAGGATGAGTTTCAAGTTCAGATTTCAGGGGTGCGCACTGAACTGCAGGCCTACACTGACCAGGCTCTGAAAGACTTGGAGTCTAAGATGCAAAGCTGGCAGGCCAACAGTCAGCAACAGGCACAGTCCAAAGAACAGGAGAGCAAAAGTCCAGACAAGAAGCAGAAACCTTCACCAGCTCCTTCTATGGGGTCCAGAAGAGGAAGGGTCCTGACTCGGACCATGACCACCATCATCCCTAAAACCTGTCCTCCTGTCGTGATTGGCCCACGTGCCAAATCAGAGACACTGAGCTCCTTTAAGTGTGAGTGCTCTCGATTTCCTCCTAAAGACCCAGTTCTTTCTTTATTAGGAAACAGAGCCTGCCAGAGCCACAAACCTCTCCCCCCAGCTCGGCCCCAAATGCATCAGCGTAAAAGGTCCATCCAGGCAAAGGCTAAACCGGGAAAATGACTCATCAAAATCGTATTCATTCATGCAGCACAAATGTTACTGCTACTGTCTGTTACCTTTAACCTGTTATACCACTGCAGCACTGTATAATGAAATCTGAGTGAAATCTGTAACCATGACTGTTAAAATAATAAAGCATCTTCTGAAAGCTTCAAAGGAGATATCCTACTTAGATCAGAATCAGCTCAAACACTTCTGTGTCATCATTTATCCTACAGTTACACAGCTGTAGCAGTTTCAACAAAAACCTTTTTGGGAATGTGAACTATTTCTGAACTTCTTTAGAGGAGAAACTATGCAAGGATCCAAACCATGATGTCTGCATTCCTCAAAATATTTTAACACAGAACAGAGTTGGGCTATAAAATATATAAAGATAGCACTCCATAATACGGCCTGTCATTAAGGGTGTAATGTCCCCAGATTTAAAATAAAGTTTCAAAGTAACTTTTGTGAAATTGTGGATTTAAATCACCTAAAAATATTGGTCAGAAATTTGAAGAACTGAATAACTTCAGTGTATTTTAGTCAAAAAACAGTTTTTCCTCACTTTACATTATAAACACGCGTTACTTTTGAGGGCTAAAATAAAAGCCTCATTCAAAAAGTACAACAAACAAAACAAAAACTTGGGGAAAGTAAGCTGCCTTTTTACAGAGCCTCCAAAAATCCATACTATCACTTAAAGGTACAGTACGTATCCACACTAGATGTCAGTAGATGTCAGCTGTGTTCCAAAACGTCGGCTGCATCCTTCGGTAGGACCTGGCCTTCGAAGGCTGAGAAGGCTGGAAGTGCAAGGCTGTGAAATGGGACGGTCTAGCCTTCAGATTTGGGTCACCGCTGTGTCGGTGGAGTTTAATAAACTCGGCCGTCTGCTCCTTGCTATCTAAAATATAACAGGACACTTGCATAAATTCTCGACCGTGAAAATATGTTAAATGTTTATTTTGTGACCCAGAAAGATTAACAACATTAATTTTAAAACTCAGTAGCGGCCGCCATTGTTGGCAGCTGAAATTTGGCTGGGCCGCGCTATGAATTCTGGGATATGGTGGGCCACGAAGGACACACCCGACCCATCCTTCAAATTCGGGGAAATGAAGGACACATTTGTCGGCCGCATTTGAAGGAGTCGACGAATTGGGACAGCCTTCGTCGCCTGGCTGTGACGTAATCGGCCTTCAAATGCGGCCTCCGGAGGATGCAGCCGTTGTTTTGGGACACAGATATAGTACGCACCGTACGTAGTACGCGTAGTACGCGTAGTTCAAGCGTGCAGACCCCCAGTTGGGACACAGCCGACCCATCCTTCAAATTCGGGGAAATGAAGGATGCATTTGTCGGCCGCATTTGAAGGATTCGACGAATTGGGACAGTCTTCGTCGCCTGGCTGTGACGTAATCGGCCTTCAAATGCGGACTCTGAAGGATGCAGCCGACGTTTTGGGACACGTGGATAATCTTAGCTACAGTGGCTGCTGTAGGACAAACATGTTCATGTGTAGTGAGTGTACGCTCTCAGGCTGCTGTTTACCTCAGCTGTCAGTATGTATCTACCTCTACTCTGGAGGAGGCTGTAAAATGTTGTGAAGGGAGTGTGATACGAGTTGTGAAACTGAGGTGAGTTGCTGAAGACATCCTGGACTTTTTTGTTGGTAAATGCTGCTGTTTGCTACTGTTAGTTAACTGTCTGAGGTGGAGCTAACATTTTTCTTATTTGGACACCTTTATCAGAGATAATTTCTTGGACATTCGAGCCAAATATTAGCTGCCATTATGCTAGCTTACAACCAGCTGCTGTTGTTGTCATTGTCAACTGTCTGGAGATGGGAGGGCTGCACAACTTATCTGGTGACCAGATGTAATTGTGACAATATCTGGAATAAATGAGCATATTTATGTATGTTTTAATGTGTAAGAGGCCTGACTTCATTTCAGGAAATGAGGCTTGATATGATATAGCTCCTTCAAGCCATAGGAGCTTTGTGATCTTTATATTAAGAGTAACCTGTAAGGTTTACTACGTATGAAGCCGTTCTCTAGTCACATACAAAAAACTCGAATAGATGGAATGACCACTGTGTTCAAGATGGTGGGGCTACATGTCAAACATGTAAAAAGTTTACATTGTACAGACTCTTTTTTGCATATACTGTATTTTCATTTTCCACATTTCAGTAAATCACCGCACCTAATTTACAGTGAAGTACTGTGGTAAGGAGAAAATTACATACAATGAGAGGACAAGTTAACCACAAAAATGATGTAGTTCAGTTTTTAAAAAGTACCTTACATTTGCATCTTTGTGGACATCATGTTGCTCTGACCAGAGATTTTTGTGACCGTTATACTCTTCTTCAAATAATTGTCAGTGTACTTTTATTTTAGATCCGGGCCATATTATAAAGTGCTGCTTGTTTGAAATAATGCTTACTTTCATGCACCAGCTTTGGTTTCAGGGTCTGCTTTAGAACTGTTCCGCCCTCTGGTGGTGAGATTACTTACAGCAGACAGGACTGTTGATATCTGCAGGTAAAGATAATATACTACTACTACTTGTGGCTTCTCCTCCAATGCTGGCCATGAACCGTTTGAAC